AGCACAATTGTATGCCGGCGCACGTTGGCTAAGAAGTTGACTGTATGCTTTTTGTCCGGCCTCTTGCAGCGATCCAAAGTATTATCAAACTCAAGCAGCTTATACCTGATGTTCTTCTTTGCTCCTTTTCATAGCCAGTCCTCCGAAGAAGAAGAAGAAGCGTTTGCCCTGGCTCTACCGGCTGGTCAACTATGCTCTGGCGCCTTTTATCCTCTCAAAGTGGGTTCGACCTACCCTATTTATCGCCTTTCTCGGTTGGATTTGCTTCTGTATCGCCATTATCCCGGACGGCCTTATAATCGGGCTTGACCAGGAACTGTCAATGCCGCTTGACTCCTATGTTCTGTCCTATTTCAAGGACGTAGCCCAACTACTAGCTGTTGGTCCTCCTGTCTACTTCGTTGTGACCGAGGGCCATGCCTATGATACCTTGACTGGACAAAATCAAATTTGCGGCGCTAAAGACTGTTATAACAATTCTCTTGTGAAAACATTGAAGACACGCATCGCTGAGGGTGATAGGCAAGTATCTTCGATGGTTTATATTTTCTTAAATCAGTGGCTTTTCTCTTTACAGGATAACATTCAGCTTGTCTTTCCTATAAATGTTGAATTTTGGTTTATAGCCTGTGGCATTTATCCGTCTTTAGAACAGGAGATGGGGGTATAATATGAAAAGTCCATTCATTGGGGGCAGAAATTCCGTTTAACAGCTTTTTGCAAAGTCTTCAGTTATTTTATTTTTTTCCTTGGCTCAGTTAGCCACAGACAGGCTGCCGTAGACCGTGCAACTAAAAATAACTACCGAGATAAGCTGTTTTTAGGCTTATTTATGTCTTTGTCGGACAATCATACGACCCGATAGCGTCCCTAACCGGGAGCATAAATCTCCTTAAACATCCTACTCTATTCTCGCCTAGGATTATCGATCCACCACTCCAACGACTGGCGATTTGGCTACTTGATAACGAACTCCTCTTCGAGGATGCTGCACACACGTTGCTTGCACCACATTTGTTGACTTGCTGGTCGATGTGCGTTAGCTGATGTTTTTAGTCTTGCGTCTAGGTCTAAAATATGACTGCCTGAGCATATAAGCTTGAGCTGCGAACAGCTTCTTCTCATTGTTCAATCTTTGTTGCTGTACTCATGCTGGTATTTGTTTGGTCTCTGCAACCTGGTCGACGGTCCCTCGTTCGTGCTCCCCAGCACCCTTTTAAAAAAAGTCAAAAAGGATCAGTTTGCAGTTGCATACGGAAATGATAATAACGGCTAACTATGTGCCAGTGGCATTGCTAGCCTTAAACATAACTTCCCTGGAAACGGGTTCAGAAAAATCAGGCGCAAATAAATTTCAATTTTTTAAATGTTAAGTACTATTTGAGCACACTGTTAATTGCGCTTATAGGTGGGTGGAAGTTATGGCATTGCAGTGCAGCGGTAGGTACTAATTGTTGTAAATGTAGTTAAAGCTGCGATATCACCGTCTATGTTACGCCTTGTGGGAGCCCCCAAGGAAGAACACGACAAGATGTGGACAAGGCAGAAGTCTTTGTGCAAGCCTAGTACATTATACTCAAGTAAGCGAATGCATACAGATTTGACCAACCAGAGTGTGGTCTCAAGAAAGACGTGACGCCATTGGCCTTGTGGCTCTTGCAGCTGGCGCGTTAGATTCCTGCGCCGGCAGCGCTGTGCGCGTCGTCATATGCGCTCTGTGTGGGCGGACCGGCTGCTTGGCGTGTGAAAGACTCATCGGGGTGACGGACCAGTCTTTTGGCGGGAAAACGACTCGACAGAGCGGTGTGCACACGCACTTAAGCCGGGCCCTAACACTTATAACTGTTGATAATACTGAAGTTCGAGATTCGTCCTTTGCTCGCTGAAGAGCAAGATTAGCCGTATGATCTAATCAACAGTTGGACGAGAATTCTGAATTGGAAGTCCGGCCCTAAGTTGGTTTCAAGAAGGCGCAGTTTGGGAATGCCATCGCGCTGGCAGACAGCGCTAACGGCCAGTCGAAGAGGGTGCTAACTTCGCACTCAATGGCACAAACTTCTTGTAAGAGTAAATCAAAAAAGTTTCACCTAAATTATCTCCATGAAATAAAGTCAGTTTTGGGTCTACTGATGAAGCCACACCTATGGGTGACGGGCTGACAACACGACTAACAGCATTGCCGGCAAAGCTACACATTCAATCAGCAGATGAATGCTGGGTTAGGTTGACCCAGTGATTAGCAGTTACCGATGCGGCACTTCCATCTTCTGGGTGAATTGTCATGTGTAAATCACACTCACTTTTATTAGTCTATTTTGTCTCTATAAATAGAGTCCCTAGTCAAGCCTCGAACCTGGCTTGGAAAATTCATGTTTCCCATTTCATCAACACCCACGCGGTTGGCAAAGTTAAAGTCAATGGTGGTGATAGGACAGCATGCGCCTATATTCGATACTGATTTTGTGGTATGAATTCCGCGTTTTAATTCTTTGCAATTTGCTCTGGCATATGTAAGGATTTTTTTGGTATTTAAATTATTCCCAATTGGCCATTCGCTGCGTTATCAGGTATCGTATATCAAAGCCACTTCTGTCGTGGATTGATGACTATAGTCTCTGGAACATCTATCCCCAATGCTGTGGGGTGCAAGATGACCTACTCACCTTCTGCGATCCCGATGTTGCGGAGTGCCATGCCTGTCCTGTCAATAAGGATCGAATAACTGGCGAGGCTTTCAATCGACTGCTTCCCAGCTTTTTGAGTCGAATGCCGAATAATCTATGTGCCTATGCGTAAGTGGATGATGATGGAGCCTTTTTATACCTTTTCGCATGTTTTACCTAATACATCACCCGCTGTTCCTTTAGATATGCTGTGACAACTATTTTATTCATCACCTACCACTCATCGTTAACGTCAGTCGGAAGATTTGGTACATCCTAAGTTAGTTTTTTGTAAAAAGTGAAAGGAGGGTAAACCTCGTTGGAATAAATACCCATGAAATACAAAGTAATGTACCTCGAACTATTGTCGCGCTGCCCTTAGGTGACTTGTCCCGATATTTGTGCATGTACTGAAACCTTTTCCAACTGCAGCCGCGTTTGCTCAGTCTCAGAGGAGGGTATTCAGTTATCCGGCTAACTTATATGTTGCGTACACTTCTTCTGTCGACCTTTCGCATAGGCTAAATACCTTTTTCCTTATCAACCATTTACTTAACGAGCTCGGAATATGTCTCTGCTCAAATGGCTCTTTAGTTCCTAAAGTCCTCCTACGGACTTTGTAATCAACAGTCAGAACTCTTTTTATTAGTGGTTCCTTTCTAGGACGTCTCCTGGGAGCTTTTAATTATTCTCCGCTTATGTATTTAACTAAGGGTAATTGACCATTTAGCTTTTCGAATCTCAAAATATTTCGGTTGCCTTGAATAAACTCTTTATTTACGTAAGTGATGATTTAAAGCATACTTTCCCTTATGCAAATCTGAGGAGCAAAATTTGATGTAACCATAAATTTCGCGAGTGCTCTTCAGCTGCGGCCTCTCGCTGCATCACACGAATAACGTACGAGAGAATACAACAAATTAAATTCGTATAGAAAATTCGATGCGAAAAGCAAGGTCATAGAAAATGGCCACGAAGGCTAATCAACAACGTAAGCAAGTTAAAACACAGTGCGAAGCAAAAGTATGGAAATACGATAAAGAGAAAAAGTTGGGCAGGGGAATGTGTAAGCCAGGGAGCCGAATGTTACCAAGGCAAAGTTAGGTTAACCATGTGCTCCAACTATTTACATAGGTCGTGTTTAAAACGCCGTACATAGGCTGCCTCCAGTTAGCGCAAGGTACGAAGTGTTCGTGCCCGGAACGGTAATCGGAAGGGTGTTTTGGGGTCAACGGTGTGACCCGTATCAAGCAAGTGTTCTGTAATCGATGAACGTGGAATTGTATTTTCCTGTTTTACTAGCCATCTGGGCAAGTGCTCTTGGGATCTAGCTGCCAATTACCGTTGCGTTCGCCCCATGTATTTGAATCCGCAAGTGCATGTGATTTCACAGACTTCAACTTGGAAGTGGCGTGCACTGGCAAGGCATCCTTGGCATGTGAAACTGGCAGCGGCTTTTTAGGCCTGCAACACATGAGTTTGGCTGTACGAATACAATTTTTTTATATTCCCTCATACGTTATTCGTTTTATGCAGCGAGAGGCCGCGGCTGAATAACACTCGCGAAATTTGTGGTTCCATTAAATTCTGCTGTCTATGTAAGTGTTAATGTTCTTTTCTGTAACATTATTTTTCTCCTTCTTTCAAGTGGGAAAGCGCAGTTTGGGAATGCCATCGCGCTGGCAGACAGCGCAAACGGCCAATCGAAGAGGGTGCTATCTTCGCACTTCATGGTGCATCACTCGGTGTTGAAGACCACAGAGGACTTTATTGATGCCATTCGAAAGGCTCGCGAAATTTCCGATGCCTTCGGTGCCCAGTGGGCCAAAGAGGACGGTCGCAGTGCACCCCCTCTGACGTTCGCACCTCAGCCAAACACGGTCTTTCCCTACAGGTGGGTTGCTTGCTTCTCCTACACTGCAGTTAAACTTTTTCTGCTTGCAAGTGTTAATGCTCTCTCTCAGGGTTACGGTGCTGTGTGGTAGCAGTTAAATTGGTCGCCCACCCTCTAGCCCCAGAATTCTGTGGTATTAGTTTAGTTTGGTTTTCAGTTTATTTCTGCAAATATTTCTGTTTAGTTGGTTTGGCAGATTTTGTTAATTTAGTTGACCCAAGTAGAGCGTTGGCTGGCGTAAAAGGCCTCCCTCCTATGCGGGTTCGAATCCCGCCGAATGCCGCGAGTTCGCCACTCTCCTATGCGGGTTCGAATCCCGCCGAATGCCGCGAGTTTTTTCACTATTGGGTCAACTAAAATATTTCTGTGTTTAACTTGGAAAGTTTATTCGGAAAACATGTGTTTTCAGCAATTCATCATCAGGCCAGTACAATTAAAGAGATAACGAAATGGTGCACTTTGATAGGGTTAATAAGGATCATTTAATTACAACTCATCGTTTTCACGCCGCCCGCATGGCGAGGCGGCGTGTAGATGTCCTGAGAAGAAAAAGACTCGATCACTGGGACAATACGCCTATTCGCTGACGTTTCGACATCCGTCGCGGATTCATCATCAGAGACATGAGAAGGAAACAGTAGCAGAAACGTGCCTCATGTCTCTGATGATGAATCCGCAACGGATGTCGAAACGTCAGGCGTATAAACGTTTTGTCCCAGCAATCGAGTCTTCTTCTTCTTCTC